TGAAATTGTGTGAACTCTTCAGCGGAAGAGAAAGACGCTCTTCAAGTCCAGTGAGATACTGTTAGATAGCAAAGACATTAATGAGGAGAAGGACCCTGGTGTTCACATGCAGACTTTGTGGGTATCTATGAGATTGCTCTGAGCTCGTCTTAGAAGATTCTTCCGAGTAGTTCGCCTATTTTTTTGTGGAATTAAGCGATTGGCTATTTTTTTAGCTCGGTTCTTCCTACTACTGCAACAGGAATCCTATAAACATGTACTTATCAGGAACTGGATGCCTCTGGGACTACTTACCTTGTCACTGCCCTAATTTGAGCAAATTCCGAGCTCAGTAAAATGTAGTACAAACAGTCTAGTTGGTATTCTTCATAGGATTCACGAAATCGTCTCGTCGCAGGATTTCGCAGCAGCGAAGTCTACCGCCAGGCCTATTGTCCAATAGGTACGTACTGTACATATTGAGCCACTTTCATCGTTCATTCCGAATGCCCGCCATACCAGCACGATTCGCTCTTGCCAAAGAAGCCGAGTTGTAGGGAGGGTTCCGAAAAGCCCTATAGAGTTTTCGAGTTGTAGATCGGTTCTACCGCATGCGCTTTCAAGTGCATCTGACCCGATGATGCCAACAAAAAAAAGGTTTGCTCTTATGAAATGCTCTACGAGCTATGACGCAAGGAGCAGTAGGTGTCTCATGCTGACAGTTCCAAAAAATAAATATTCTATGAAATGGTTTAAAAACAAAATTTTAAAAGCCATATATAAATTGTCTGACTAACCTATGCAACCAGTAGAACAGGCTGTTAATTGTGTAGTCAGAGACGATGAATTCAGCCATATGAGGATCAGTAACGTAAGGGAATTGTACGGGGAATGCTCCAAATGGCGTTCCTGAAACATGGTTGGAATTCGTTCGAAGACAAGCAGCAGTCATTTGAGCTACTCGAACAAATATACGGCAAACAAGCCTTTTGATTACATATTTTTTAGATAACCGGCTCGAAGCCATCAACAATAGGCTATTTCATTTCACCCAGATGAAGCTACATGGGGGTAATGCCCACAATAGTCGCATATGGGCAGAGATTGTAGTTAACCAGGTATATTACGAAGCATTTTAAAGAGCTATTGAACAAAGATTCTGAGCTATCATTTGATTTTTGCCCAAAATAGTTACTATTATTATTGGCGTAGTTTCTAACTACGATGGCCAATCGCCAACCAGTAACTGAAATCCTATGGGTAAAGCTCTTTGACTGAATAATTTGAATAATTGCAGTGGAAATAATGGTCTTCAAGTTGTTCAGGAGGCCTGGGCACTGTCAATTACTCAGTAACAAAATTATGTTCGATGTCCCCTTCCNCCCCCCCCCCCCCCCCCCTTCCCGAATAGCGATTTTCACCCGCTCTGTAGTTACCTACCACTGACCCACCGTTTATTCGTCTATTCGTATGCTCAGATCCTTTTTGGACCTTCATGAAATTGCAGTCAGTCCGTCAAAATGCCCAATGGGAGCTGGAGTTAATGAGGCGTTCAGCTCACCTCCTTGTGCGTTTGGACTAAATTCTCCGGTGAGATCAATAGTGAAGTCATTTGAAGTTGCATGCACGCCGAGTAGTTGTATGGTCAAGTACAGATCGCTGAGTTTACGCTGAAAAATATATTTACTTGTTGATCAGTAGGTACAACATTCTCGGCCATTGTTGAGCAATGGCGAAGAAGAATCAATCAGTTCAAGTTCACTCGGCCAGAAAGTGCAATCGAGCTTTACGATGCTTCTCCCCACTGAGAAGATTCTCACTGCTTTACTGCTCTTGATCTGATGGCCTCTGTTGTTATACTGTGTTTAGCAGGTTTTCGCCGCGAGCGGTTGCGGCGCAGTGTGCATCAAATCAATCGATAAATCAGTGAATCGCACGTCAGTCCGCGTAGAGACCAAGTCTCATCACTGATTACACACTGAACCAACTACAAAGTGGGTTCAGTGCGGAGTCATCTTTGTTACCATTGGTATTACAACTAATTATCATCAATAATTATGACACATTATTGACTGTTACTAATTATTTGTATTATGCATTACCACTGGCACTATAATTGACTATGATTTCAATAAAATGACTAACCATATCGAGACCTGCAGCCAGCATTCTAATGAAACTCATTGGATCATCAGAGGCTCCAGAAGCAGGTGGGCATTTAGCGCATAGGTCGGGACTAGGAGGTACTAGCATAGCTGGTGGAGCACCAGGAACCTAAAAAGCACGAAATGTTCCGTTGTAATCTTATTTCTATGGAGAGTAGTGATAGAAAATTACATACAGGAGGAGGTGGAGGTGGAGCTGGTCCTGTTCCTGGGCGGTATGCGCCCACTGCTGTTCCCCGTCCATATCGTGACCCCGCGAATTGAGCTGCTGCTGCTGGTTGATAACCACCAACTCCACGGCCTGATCGTACAATTTGAGCGGCTCCATTGGGAGGAGGACGAACGACGGGCGCTTGACGCTTGTTTCGGATAACAGTATGGCGTACCTGAACACGATATGCTAACACTTTGATTCCTAGACTGAAAACAAGAAACTCATTAATCGTTCTGGTTCATTTGGGTGGTCCCAGACCTGACATATGGGGACTGGACATTCGATAAAGGCTTTCAGTGGTGTCACTTCATGAAATCATATTATTGAGTTGGTACCCAGCAAACAAACTAAAGGCCCTGAGTGTGAAATGTATGAATGGGCTTCTTCACTGTTTTAGAGCCCTACCACCTACTATTCGTTACGTAGAGCTCGGTCAGGACGTGCGGCGATATGATACGCGTGCGGGTCCGGCGCGGTATAAAAAACTGACCAAATGTCGCACAGCTCGCTAAGATCAACAGCGGTAAAGGAGCTCGAAAAGTGATTACCTTGAGGCTGCGGAACGCTTGTAAGCGACATTAACTGAAAATCGAGCTTACAGGGACTCTCATTAAAGGTTTGTTACCAATCTATTCGAAGCGGGGCGGTACTTCATCCGCTTGAGTGGAAAGGATACTGTTAAGCGGTAGCTTTTCTGCAGGGGTTTGCAACCTTTGTAACTATAAGCTTTCCCAAGTGATAATCATTGATAACCCGAGATATTTCGCAAGCCAGTTCTAAAAGCGACAAACAAACGGAATATGAAGATTCATTAAGCGGTAATGGAACCAATCAAGTTACCGGATCCGGGGAAGAACCCAACTCAAGCGAATTTATGAGATAAAACTTGAACTGACTCACCCCACCACGGGCGTCACCCACCAAATAGGTAACGGTCCGTTGTTGAGCGGCAGTTGGAGCTGCGTGAATAGCGTTCCTTCTCGGAATTTGCTTCAATGTCATTGCCTAGGAATGGAACACTCAGATGTCATTTGAGGAACTTTCCGTAGACCAGAAACTACCTGATTTGTGTTGTAGATCCTTTGTTGTTGGAGTCCTCGAGCTTGTGGTCGTGCATTATAAGCACCTTGAGGAATTTGAGGAGCTTGTCCTCCACCTTGTGACACTTGTGACACAGCGGAGTTAGCAGAGGAAGCAGCAGAGGTTGGTGTGGAAGGTATACGTAAACCTGACTTTCCTTGACAATATTGTTGGCACTGAAAAAGGGGGTTCAAGCGACTTCCTAATAATCAAAAAAACGAAACCCTCAAGGCTTACGTATTGAGCGGATGGTCCTGCAGGTGGTGCCGATAGCGCTCCACTGAATATACTGAGCATTTGAGTTACGGCTACTGATTGTGGTAGTTGAGAAAGACGGCTGTTGAGCCGTTCATTGATGATTGACGGTAACATGTTGCATATTTGGTTTGGAACCATTTCTCGAACTTGATTGGAAATTCGTTCCTGCAATGAGTGATGATGATGATGAACTATGAATTTAAAGCACATTCCACGATTCCCTTTGAGGCCCTTTTTAAGTTGAAAAGTGGAAGTATTGAATGGGAATAGTGCATCGGTTAGTGAAGGAAGCGTGAAAATTCACCGAATTAGCGAAAAGGCCCTCAAATGTAGTAAAAATGAGGTTGGACGAGATTACCATGACGGAAATAACATGGAAGGGGTATTCGGACGAGATTTTGATTGTTGCAATTGCGCAAAGAGCTGACCATATTGAGCTGGAACTGTGCAAAGGTGCCTTTCGCTGAGTCCTGAACTTCCTACTTGGGTTCCCTTGTGATCGTGCACCCCTACAATGCCGGTGAAACTCGTCCGATGATACACACGAGACAATCTTCAAGCCTTTTGAATGCACTGTCTAGGCCGTTTTTCAACCTGACAGCGCTACATATGTTTTACGAGGGGGGCCACAAATTTATCCCAGGGGATATCTCATAAGCCATTTTCATCGTGAATTGTGCCTTTAAAGGAGTGCCTGACTTGA